CCATCCCTAGTTTTTTGAGGAATCTCCATACAACTTTCCGTTGTGTGGTTAAACTAGTCTTTAGTCCCACCAGTAAAGTTCAGGTGTACCTTTTCCCCCACATCCTTACCAGCATTTATTTTTTGCTTCGTTTCCTTCCTTAAATTTGCATTTTGAAACAGATTCATACAAAATTTCTGAATTTGTGCTCTCCTTTAGCTTTCCCACCCCATTCAGCCTGCGAGTCTCAGTCTCAGTGCCACCTTAAGAAGACTTCCCTATTGATTGATCACTTTTTTTAAAAAAAAAATTTTTTTTAGATGTATGGACCTTTATTTTATTCATTTATTTATATATGGTGCTGAGAATCGAACCCAGTGCCTCACACAGGCTAGGCAAGCACTCAACCATTGAGCCACCGCCTCAGCCCCTTGATTGATCACTTTTGAAAARTAGATATGTATGCTCTGTGTGTGTGTGTGCCATGTATATGTGTGCTGTGTGTGCGTGAGTGTGTGTGTGCATCTGCGTGCCRTGTGTGCGTATGTACATGTGTGTGCAGTGTGTGTGCCATGTGCTTGAGTGGGTGCATGTGCATGTATATAGTGCTGTGTGCGTGCATGTGCTATGTGTGTATGTGTGTGCATGTGTGTGTGTGTGAGAGAGAGAATCAGAAGAGGAGGGACAGCTTGGTTCTTGTTTTCTGTTTGGGAGCCTGCAGTATTATTTCCTACACACTTAAACTTGGTAGGATAGGTCTCGATGGGGTTTGTTGTCGTTTGTTTTGCTTGAAATGTAGACCCTTCCTTGCCTCTAGAGACGGTTGTCTTTTTGTAGTTCAGGAAGGTTTTATTTTTGAACTTATAATGTAGTTTTAGTTTCTTCAACCAAAATGTTATTATTATAGTGTTGAATTTTAATTCTCTTTTTTGTGTATTATCTCTTTTTTGTTTTTTGCCATTCTCTTTTCTTCCCACATATTTCGTTTTAAATTGAATACTGGGAAAGCACTTTAATTGTATTTCCATGTCATGGAAGTTTTCTTTGTAGACATTTCAGTGCTTATCTTAATTAATGCTTCCTCCTTTGCAGTTTTTTCTTAATTAAGCCAGTCTTTTAAWCTCCACCTATTTGTGGTTCTTTGTTGAAGCTTTATGCTTGGCATAATAATATGTGCATGGACATCTCTCAGATGGTTTGAATACTTGCATAAACAAAAACCAGATCTTGGTTGATGTGTGCTACTGAGAGTGTTAAAATGTTTTTCTATTAATGTGTTCTTTTTTTAAAAGACAGCTATATTGAGATGCAGGTTTATATACCACAAAACTCATCCATTGTGAGAGTACAGTTCCATGATTTTTAGGTTTCATAGAGTTGTGTAACTGTGATAATATCCTGCTTTTAGAATATTCCAGTTCTTACAAAGTGTCCCTTTGTGCCTGTTTGCAGTTAAGTCCTTGCTTCTGCACTCTGTCTGTAAATCTGCCTCGTGTGGATGTTTGTATAGATGCATGCAAAGTKACTGCTCATGTACACACAGATACAGTTTTTGCAGTTGTTTATATGTAAACAGCTGTTAAGTAAGGTGTGTAATGGACACACACACATACACACACTGTGTGATTGCTTTCATCTCCGTGTGTGGCTTTCTGGGGTCGCCTGCTTTCCATGTGGCTCCGTGGGCTTGAACCAATTTATCGAACATTTGCTGAAAATTTATAATGCTGTGAGGCTAAAAAAATACTATCACGAAATATTTCCCCCAAGCTCTGTGATGAATCCAACAGCACTGGATTCCAAATTAAATTGTTAAAACTGTGACACTGGTGTGGGGTCCAGAAGCTGCATTTTAAAGAATTATATTACTTTAATTTTTTTTGTTGTTGTTGCCAATGGACCATTATTTATTTATTTGTATTTATGTGGTGCTGAGGATCAAACCCAGTGCGTCACACATGCTAGGCAAGTGCTCTGCCACTGAGCCACAAACCCACCCCAGAAGCTGCAGTTTTTAAAGGAAATAAGAATGGAYGTGGACCCGAGCATCTCCAGCAGCCAGGCTTTGGTCCCCTGTCAGTAGCAGCGTGTGGGGCAGGAGCAGCCATGCACATGGCCCTGGTTTGTGCTTCGGCAGCGTCCTGTCTCCCTTGATGTCCACACGCAGGCTTGGGTTGACCCACCTGCCCTGACCGTGGCTGAGCCTCAGCCTGCCACAGTGCCACCCTCTTGCTCACCGACCACCTGGTCCACCACTTATGTGACGGTGCACCTGAGCATGTGTGTTACTTACCACTCCGAATGCGGCACCCACTCTAGCAGTAAAGCGGCCGCTCCTCCTGGCTTGCCTTGCCTGCCCTGCTCTGCAGAGCCTCTTGTGTCTACTGAGCAGCAAGGAGCTTTACCCAGCATTCTCAGTTCAAACATAAATGTTTTTTAGGTTGTTGTACCCTTTGATTGATTTCCAGAGCACCAAATATTTTGTTTTTTGTTTGTGGGGATTTTTTTGTTTTTGTTTTGTTTCTGGATAAGTCTCATCCAGCTTTTCCCTTGGTTTGGGTAGAAGAATTGCTGGAAGTGCTCCCCTCAGAGTGTATTCTTTTTCTAGTGTAGTCATTTCCCCAGTTACACTTACTGTATTAGTCAGGGTCAGAGAAGTAGAACTAAGAAAATCTGTGGGGGGATGCAGACACGGACAGAATAGATGGTTTTTTGTTTGTTTGTTTTAGGTATTTTGTTTTTATTTATAGGTGGACACAATATCTTTATTTTTTGTGTGTGTGTGGTGCTGAGGATTGAACCCAGTACCTCATGCATGATAGGCAAGTGCTCTACCTCTGCGCCACATCCCCAGCCCAGAAGAGATGGATTTTAAGGAATCTGCTGATGCTGTCATGGGGCTGGCAGGTCTGCAATCCACAGGGCAGTCTGATAGGTATAGCAGTCTGGAAGCTCCGGCAGTGGTTCTGTGCTGTTTGGGGATTTTCTACTTTTTTGGAAAAATTTGTCTCTTAAAGCCTTTAACAGTTAAGGCCTTCCTGTGTTGTGGAGAGTGACCTACTTGACTCAGAATCTGTCAATTTAAATGTTAGTCACATCTGAAAATTCTTCCAACAACATTTGTGTTGGTGTTTGACCAAACAGATGCTCACCTGGCCTGGCCAGGTTGACACGTGGAACTAACATCATGCTGTCCTCTGAAGATGCAGGTCCTTGTCTTAGTGCGAGTGTGGTCTGATTGCTGTCTGCTTCTCAGGGTGGACCCTTGCTCCCACTGGACTGGCAGTTCCAGCTGTGTACATATTTGACCRCGAGGCACCTGCAGCTTTGGAGTGCCCTGCGTCCAAACCTCCMCTCTTCCTCCAGGGCTCAGTCACAGGCCTGTGTGCCAGCAAGCATGTGAACACTAGCTCTCCTTAAGGGGTTGTGTCCTGTCAAGCCCTCGGGATCTGCCTGGAGTTCCTCAGCCTGCACAGCCTTTTCAGTTGGCCTGTGTGCCCCTTTTCCTATTGCTGCCTTATCCCTCTGCATTTCTTTGAGTGCTGATCACATTTTATTGTCACTGTTTGCGTATCTGTTTGAAGACTTTGTCTTCTGAGAGCAAAGCTCCTACACTGCCCTCCTTCTCACGGTCTGTCCTGGTCAGACGTGAACTTCTGGTTTGCATTGCCTGAATGAACACTGAATCTCTGCTGAGGATTTGGAAGCTACATTCATACTTCTTTTGTAGTAGTTTCTCATCATACTGGAATGTGGAGATGGTGATTATTTGGGGATGAAGCAAACCTGAGTGCAGGTGGTCAGCCTTGGGTCAGATGCCAGGCATGCTTGGGTGTCTTCAATACTTGCTTGACTCCTTGGTGCAGATGCTTTTATTTTTTCTCCCATCCAATGCCTGCTATGTAGGCGTTCTGAAGCAGAATTTACTGCTGGCATGTCAGACCTGTTCCATTAAGAAAAGCTGTTTCTGATAATTTATTTATTCACCCATGTTGTTTTGAGGATCAAAAAAGGGCCTCATGCATGCTGGGCAAGTGCTGGACCACTGAGTGAAGCCCAGCGAGGAGTTCCTGCTCACTTTTGTGTTTACTGTGTTCTGAGAATGCCAGGGCTGCTTCAGCCTCTTCACACCTAGAACTCAGTGGTTGGTAGCTGGAGACTGTTTGTAAACAATCAAATAATGTGATGATAAATAAACTTTTTCCTTGTCTTACCAGATATTAATCATCTTTCTGAAGTACAATCTCCATGGCCTGAACTTTTTTTGAAAATCATTTTGAGCAAAGTATTTGTTTAATAACAAGATAACCACATCAAGATGGTTGGAAAACTGAAGCAGAATTTACTATTGGCGTGCCTGGTGATCAGTTCTGTGACAGTATTTTACTTGGGCCAGCATGCCATGGAATGCCACCACCGAATAGAGGAACGTAGCCAGCCAGCCAAATTGGAGAGCACAAAAGCCACCGTGCGAACCAGCCTGGACCCTAAAGCCAATAAAACCTTTGCCTATCACAAAGATATGCCTTTGATATTCATTGGTGGTGTGCCTCGGAGTGGGACCACACTCATGAGGGCCATGCTGGACGCACACCCTGACATTCGCTGTGGAGAGGAGACCAGGGTCATTCCTCGGATCTTGGCCCTGAAGCAGATGTGGTCGCGGTCCAGTAAAGAGAAGATCCGCTTGGACGAAGCTGGTGTCACTGATGAAGTGCTGGACTCTGCCATGCAAGCCTTCTTACTAGAAATCATCGTGAAGCATGGGGAGCCAGCTCCGTACTTATGTAACAAAGATCCCTTTGCCCTGAAATCCTTAACTTACCTTGCCAGGTTGTTCCCCAATGCCAAATTTCTCCTGATGGTTCGAGATGGCCGGGCATCAGTGCATTCAATGATTTCTCGGAAAGTTACTATAGCTGGGTTTGACCTGAACAGCTACAGGGACTGTTTGGCCAAGTGGAATCGTGCCATAGAGACGATGTACAACCAGTGCATGGAGGTCGGTTACAAAAAGTGCATGTTGGTCCACTACGAGCAGCTCGTCCTCCATCCTGAGCGGTGGATGAGGACCCTGTTGAAGTTTCTCCACGTCCCATGGAACTACTCAGTGCTGCACCATGAGGAGATGATCGGGAAGGCCGGGGGAGTGTCGCTGTCAAAGTGAGTCCAGGGCACACTCTTCCTTCTCACCCCGTGTCCCCCTGATGAGTTTGTGTGTGTGTGTGYGTGGGTGTGTGTGYACAGATGTGGGAGTGCGCATGTGTGCGTGTTTGTGGGTGTGTGTGCATATGTGCGTGTGTTTGTAGGAGGGTTGCGCACAGATGTGTGTGCATATGTGCATGTTTGTGGGTGTGTGCATGTGTGGATGTGGGTGTGAGCATGTGTGGGGGGTGTGTGTGCATGTGAGAGTGCACATATGGGTGTGAGTGTGTGTAGGTGTGTGTGCGTGTGAGAGTATGTGCACATGTGGGTATGGGTTGCACATGTGTGTGTGGGTGTGGGGTTACATGTGGGTGCATGTGTGGGCATGGATGTAGTTTTTTTATACATAAAGTTTAGACCTTTCTGGAACAGGGGTAGTTTGGATGCGGAGTTTTCTTTTCATTAGTTCTCTGTCAGCTTATTAGATACCCTTCTGTCCATGTAATCTCTGTGTGTTTATAGTATCATGGTCCTTTGTGTCTGTGTGCTGGATGCCAACCAGCTAACAGGCAATGAAGGGCCTTTCCTCTGACCTCAGCCTCAGAGTCCAGGTTCAGTGTTACTGGCTTGTAACTTCTGACTTCTAGGTGTGCTTGTAAGTGTCAGTTTGGCTTCTGGGTAGAGTTAGGGTAATACAGGGAATGCACCTACAGTGTCAGCGAGCACTTAGGGAATGTCAAGCATTTTAAAATTTTAGTTATAGCAATAATGAAGGCACTACGACCTTTTACAGATAAGACAAAGTCATGGAAAGGTCAGGGGGACGTGCTCATATTGAGATGCAAAGCTGTCATTCAGAATGTGCCAGATCCACTGAGCTCTGCTGTTTTCTAGCACCTTGCCACAGGCAGCGCCCTGTCATCAGGTGGTCGATCCTCTTCTGGCTGTTTCCAGGAGGCAAGAGCCGCCATGGTTGGAAAGCTTCATCCACACAGAGGTCCTTAGGGGCGAGCGCTTAGAACAGCGACTAAGCCTCTTGCTCAGTCTTGCACTCTGCCTCCTTTCCATGAAGGGGTGGCTGCAGTGGACCAGTTGGTGTGTGGCCTGAGCAGTAACTGTGTGCGGAGAATGAGGAGATGACAGTGGAAAGCACTGTTAAATTCAGGTGGTGCCTCCTTATTTAAGAGAATTTGGGTAAAATTTTATTTATTTATTTATTTTGGTCTTTTTTCATTTATCAAAGTAATGTATATCCCTGTAAAAAAGAGAAAGAAGTGTGCAGTGTGAGCCATTCCTTCCACTGAGCGCATCTCCTCACTTTCCCACGACTGTGACTTGTCTAGTAAGCACTGCCTTTCCATGCAGACCGACTCTGAGGAATACCTGCCTGCCGGCGCCTCACTCTCAGTTACTGGTGGTTTACACATTATCAGCCATTACCATCACAGCAACTCGAGATCATTTGTATTGATTGAAAGAAAATTACAGTCCTAGTCACTGTCACTGCACTTTATTGTTCTTTCCAGATAATAATCTGTAGTTGATTTTTAATGACCTGTATTCCTAGGTAAGTACAGCTGGGGTTCTTTCTGCCTCTGGATTCAGCCAATCATGCATCAAAAGTATTTGCAAGAAATTGCACTGAAGATGTACATACTCCCCTCGTCATCATTCCTACACATGCAGCATGACAGCTGTCTATACAGCATTGGCCCTGTTGTAGGTCTCAAAAGTGATCTAGAGGTGATGTTAGCTATAAGGGAGGATGTGAGCAGGTTGTGCAGATGCTGCTCCATTTGTGTGAGGCTCTTGAGCATCTACACAGTTTGCATCTGCAGGGTTCTGGAGTCCGTCCCCTGCTGATACCAAGGGCTGTGGTGTGCCCTGGCCGGGAGACTCTGGTGCTAGTTCTGCTTGTCAGTGCAAAGAAGCTGACAACACCTCCAGACTCTCCTAGTGGGGACTGAAGAGATATGTGAAGTTAAATCCTGGGGATAGGAAGGGAGAGACCGTTCTGCATGTGTACCTGCTGTGCTTAAGGGACACAGATGGAGGCCATCCATAGATCCTTTAAGTCAATGAATTTCATCAGGGAACAAGCCTTGGCATCTAGTCTGTTGGTTGGAGACCCAGCCGAGCTCTGGGCTTTGTCATAGAACCTTGGCCACGTTGCAGGTGTCTGTGTGAGATGTTCAGTGTTCGGCTGGGTGAGCGCTTAGTTCATGTGCACGCCTATGCTCACCACCCACACCAAGGAATAGGGAACCCCAGCAGCATCCAGGAGGCTGTGCCTACTCCTTCCTGTCAGTGCTCCTCCACCCAAAGCTGCCCCTGTGCCACCCCAGTCTCTACAGGTTGTCTTGCTTGTTTTTAAACTTTATTTACATGCAGTTGTGCATATTTTTTGTGGTTGGCTTCTCTTATTCAGTGTTGTGTTTGAAATTCATTCATGCAGTTGTAAATAGCAGTGGTTGCTCCATTGTTATTCCTGTAAAGTGTGCCACATTTGATCTATTCTTCCATGGACAGACACTTTGAGTTGTTTCTGGTTTGGGGCCATTGAGGATAAAGTTGCCAAGAACGTACTTGTACGTTAGTTTTGTGGAACATGAGCATTCTTTTTGAGTGTATTTCTTTCATTTTGAGTATATTCCAATGAGAATTATTGGATCATATTTATGTGCTTGTAGACACATACGCACGCTTGCATGCGCACGCGTGCACACACACACACACACACATACTATAAAATATATACTTCCTTAAGATTTTCTAAACTGTATTATTTGTGGGTGTTTATACTGTAATTGTCTCTCATCTTTGCCAGCACTTGAACCTTTTAATTTTAAACTTTCTGATAGGGTACATGTGTTTTTTGTAAATTTAAAAACAAAATTAAAAAATGGCATATGAACCTCTTTTTTAAATAATCTTACCCAGAATTCCAATGTAAAGCACAAGAGCAAACCTTTAGTTGAATCTAAATTATCCCATACTTCCTCTTTTAAGACTGAGTCCCTACTCTCGAAAAACCACGAATTCAGGGATAGGGCAGAAGCAGTTATTTCTTTAGGACCAAGTTGTAAATATTTGGTGTTCATTGTTATGTCGATTTATACCTCAGAGTCAGTCATCTTGTGTGCCTATTCCTGTGTACAAACATTGCTTTCTTTTGGAAAAATTGTTTAAAATCAGTTTCTTTTTTTTTTTTAATTTATTTTTTAGCTTTAGGTGGGCACGATATCTTTATTTTATTTTTATGTGGTGCTGAGGATTGAACCCAGTGCCTCATGCATGCCAGATGAGCACGCTACCCCCTGAGCCACATCCCCAGTCCCTAAAATCAGTTTCTTAATACTTGTTTTAATGTTATGTAGTATGATAGTACTTAAAAATATTTGGGAAGCCTGAAGGTTTGCAGATGTCACCAGGTAGCCCAGGAACCTAGGTCCTGGCTGTTGAAGACATTGATGTGGGACAGGCTCACAGCTCTGCCTGCCTTCGCTTGTCAACTGTGAAGGTTAGCCTTGCCTCCACTGGGGCTGGCATGGAGATACCCCACTGTTTCCAGTCAGGGTGGTGCCTTTTCCTTCTCTGGTCAGTTCCAGTCTCAGAGACAGAGCAGGTGGGGGTGAAGCCCAGTGGTGAAGCACTTGCCTGTCACGTGAAGCCTGCCTTGGGTCCCAGCACTCGGGGGGCACTTGACCACTGAGCCTCATCCCCAGCCCTATTTTGTATTTTATTTAGAGACAGGGGTCTTACTGAGTTGCTTAGCACCTTGATTTTACTGAGGCTGGCTCCTGCCTCAGCCTCCCGAGCTGCTGAGATTATAGGCGTGTGCCACTGTGCCCAGCTTACAGGTCTATCTTTTTTTTTTTTTTTAGTTGTAGATGGTTACAATAATTTTATTTTTTTATGTGCCTCACACATGCTAGGCAAGCACTTTACCACTGAGCTACAACCCAGCCCTGAGTCTTTTTTTTAAATTTTTTACTTGTTCTCTTTAGTTACACATGACAGTAAAATGTATTTTGGCATATCATGTAAACATGGAGCATAATTTCCCATTCTTGTGGTTGAACAGGATGTGGAGTTACACTGGTTGTGTATTCATATATGAACATAGAAAAGTTATGTCCGATTCATTCTACTATATTTCCCATTCTCATTCCTGCCCCTGCCCCCAATCTGGTGAAACTCCATTCCCCCTAACCCCCATTGAGAGTAAGCATCTGCATATCAGAGAGAACATTCAGCCTTTGGTTTTTTGGGACTGGCATTTTTCACTTACCATGATATTCTCTAGATCTATCCATTTACCAACAAACACCATAATTCCATTCTTCTTTATGGCTGAGTAATATCCCATTGTATGTATATATCACATTTTATTCGTACATCTGTTAAAGAGCACCTAGGTTTGTTCCATAGCTTAGCTATTGTGAATTGAGCTGCTATGGACATTGATGTCCACTATAGTATGCTGATTTTTAAGTCCTTTGGGTGTATACCAAGGAGTGGGATAACTGGGTCAAATGTTGGTTCCATTCCAAGTTTTCTGAAAAATCTCCATACTGCTTTGCAGAGTGGTTGCACCAACTTGCATTCTCATCAGCAATGTATGAATGTACCTTTCCCCCACATCTTTGCCAACATTTGTTGTTATTTGTATTATTGATAATTGCTATTCTGACTGGAGTGAGAGATGAAATCTCAGTTTAGTTTTAATTTGCATTTCTCTAATTGCTAGAGATGTTGAATATTTTTTCATCCATCTGTTGACTAACTATTTCTTCTTATGTGAAGTGTCTTTTCAGTTCCTTTGCCCATTTATTGATTGGGTTATTATTGTTATTATTATTATTTTGGTGTTAAGTTTTTTGAGTTCTTGAGGAATAGGTGGCAAAGATTTTCTCCCATTCTGTAGGCTCTCTCTTCACGTTCTTGATTGTTTCTTTTGCTGTAAAGCTTTTTAATTTGATACCACCCCATTTATTGATTCTTGATTTTACTTTTTT